AATTCACACTCAAAACGCCGCAGCACAGTACCCCGCTACCCCTCACCCGCAAGCTCTTCCTTGTCGCTATCCTCACTCTCCTCACTCTGCCTCTGCTATTCAGACTCCTGCGGCCAGCCCGTGGCCCCGCGATCTCTATTCCGACCACACCACAATCCAGACCTCTGGCCATGGCGTGGCGAAGCCATGGAACCACCAACGCCGGCCTTGTGAACGCTCTCTTCCGCAACAACCTAATCGAGCACGAGCGCGTCAAAGAAGCCATGTTGAAAGTACGCACACTCCCGCAACCAAACCCTCAGCCATCTCACGTATGCTAACCCAGCCTCGCCTCAGGTCGACCGCGCCCACTACGCGCCCACTTCGCCCTATGAAGACTCTCCCCAACTAATCGGCCACGCCGCCACAATCTCCGCACCACACATGCACGCCTCGGCCTGCGAAAAGCTGCTCCCATACCTCCACCCTGGCGCGCGCGTCCTGGACATCGGGTCCGGGTCCGGGTACCTAACCGCCGTCTTCGCCAACCTTGTCGGGCCAACCGGGCGCGTCATCGGCGTCGAGCACATCCAGCCCCTCGTCTCACTCTCGGAAGAAAACATGCGGAAATCGGACGAAGGCCGCCGGATGCTGGAGAGCGGACAGGTGCAATTTATCAAAGCGGATGGCCGGAAGGGATGGGCAGACGGCGCGCCGTACGATGCGATTCATGTCGGTGCCGCGGCCGCGGAGCATCATAGAGAATTGACGGAGCAGTTGAAGGCGCCGGGACGGTTGTTTGTACCGGTTGCGGAGGGGTGGATGCAGAATATTTGGGTGGTGGATCGGAAGGAGGATGGGAGTGTGGAGAGGACGAAGTTGTTTGGGGTGCAGTATGTGCCGTTGACGGATGCGCCGGCGGATTAGGTGGTGAAGAGAAGGAGGTATTCAACACTAAGATCTGAGAGGGTGTAGTGGATCAAGAGGAATTGGATCTATAAGGAAGGAAGAGGGTATTTTGCTGAGCGCGCATCCTCAACGATGCGACTTTAGTCGAGAATGCATACCTGCAACGGGGCACTCAGACTGCCTTGGAGTCTTCGATCTCCACGGCTGTGGAGGAAGACGGGAACAGTCCTGATGGGCAAGGGAAATTGTCAAAGCCATCTATCATGATTAGCAAGTACATATACCCCCTTACGTATACACTCATGATATCTGAGAACGAATACTCACAGACTATTAAGACCGGCGGGTTTGCGGGCGTCATAACACTGAGAGAAGACAGCTTGAGATGGACGTGATTGCAAAGGTGTAGGAATCAACATTATAATCACTAACAAGAAACTCCATCATCTTGTCCTCTCCCCCCTTTTCTCATATCTCAGCCGACTATGGGCATCCCATCACTTCATTTCTTCATACAACCACCCCGTTGAAAAATATGACTCTTTCCGTGCAAGTCATGACACTCTGTAAACTACTACAATCATGTTTTCTCAAACGAAATTTGTCTATGCGGTCTATATAGCATGGACGTGAAGCCAACACTCTACTCACTCTAGATATCGATGCTGAGAAAAGTTATGCTTTCGCTGAGTGTGTATGCTAGGCTGAACAGACCATGAGAGAGAAATACCAAGTCATCAATCATTACGACGAACTATCATAAGAAAGTACAGAGACGATGACTCCTGAAAGAAAGACAATCGACCCGAAAGGACAACCTCCAACTCCTCTGTAACAGAAGGAAACGAATGCACAATATTGACCATCACTCCATTCGCCCTCCTCTTTCTCTTCTCCCGGATTAACAAGGAGGAACTTATCCATACCCCTCGAGCACCCGTCCAACAAACCCTTCTAAACCAGCAACGCCTTTCTCCCCCCTCTCATTCCCGCCAAAGAGCCCCGGCCCACCACCCGGTAGCACCAACACCTTGGTATCTAGCTCGACGAATTCTCTCGACGCGATAAATTGGAACGTCACCACCGTCGCCGTCTCCTTAGCCGGCGCCGTTTCACCCGCCGCCCCTGGGCCCGTATCATCATCCTCGAATCCAAAGCCAAACCCGACGTCCTCGTCATCATCCGGAGTCTCTAAAGCCATCGTGGAGCCCGAATCCACCGGCTCGACTTCTGGGGCCACGGAGACAACTTTCGCAGAAGCCCGTACACTCGCCACATAGACGACGACCGCACTCCCAACAGTGAGGTTCTTGACAGCCTGAGCATTCAGGCCAGAGAACCTGACCACAATAACCCTGTCGGCCTTTGCCTGTCCATCCATATCCATCAATACCATTCCTTTTCTAATTCTCACGACCGCGGGACTTGCAATCGGCAAGTCCAGCGGCGCGACTCCTATCGTACCCACCTGACCCGCGTGCAGACTCCGCACCGGCAATCGCAGGTTGCGCAGCGATGTGATGCGCACGCGACGCCATTCCGCGTGCCTGTCGCCGCCATCGGAGCGAGATCGCAGGGCTATGTTCCCTGCTTGACCTTTGTGCAGGGCGCCAGGGAAAGAGCGAGATGTTGGGACAGGAGAGTTGCGATGCGATCTGTTTGGGGGCGTGGATCCTCTCCCACTGCCGCTATCGCTGTCATCGGGTGTGGTGTCGACGGGATACGGGCCGAGAAGTAATTGGTCGCCGACATGGAGAGTTCCGTAACGCAGGTGGCCACCGATAACTGCCGATCTATCAGAAGATTTCGACGTGCTCAGGGAGAGGGTCTTGGAGGGAGCCAGAATGTTGCCGTAAATATCCTCAACATAAAACAACGTGCGCGGGGAATCCTGAGGCGCATCCGATGCGCTAGGTATGGGAAGTTCCCGCAGGAATGCATGCAGTTTGTCAATGCCAGTCCCCTTGACTGCACTGGTGAGAATAATGGGGACAGTTGCAAGGGGGTCGGAATCAAGCGCTCCAACTATGCGGCCGGCTTCCAGAAGATCATCCTTGGAAACAGTGTTCAATTCCGCCTCAGAAACAGGTCCAGACGTGTCGTGGACAATGCATGGCTTTCGGCCAGTGACCTTCAGTGCCGACAGTAGCTTGGACAGGGTTTGTCGAAGACCAACCTTGGTGGCTAGATCCAATTTCGTGATGATAACAACCAGGGGCAGTTCCAGATTCAGGCAGAGTTGGAGGTGGGACTGCGAGAGGTCAACGTCTGCTGCAACTAAGCCAAGAATCTCCTGAGAGGTCAGCGAGGCTCCAGTCTTCCCAGAAGAGTCTTCTGTGCTGTCTGCGGGTATACAGAGCAGGGTCCAATGAGGATCCCATCCGATAAGTCCCCTTACAGTCGTTCGACGAAAGCGGGGGTGTCCAGCAGAATCTGAAAGAAACACTAGTCTTCCGCTCTCTGCGCTCGCATGAATATCGACCCACGAAGAAACGTTGCCGGCCCCATAGCTGACCACCTGCACAGATGTCCTCGTGCCATCCTGATCTTTGACGTCCTGGTACCCAATCAATTCCTGCGTGACAGAGGAAGTCATGCCGGAAATAATCTCATGCCTGTGTTTCAAAAGGCTCAGCCTACTCTTTCCCCGCCCGTTGTCCAACGTGGCTGTGGAGAGGCTGCCAAGAAGACTGGACTTTCCAGACATAGTAGCCCCAGTCAGTGATATGCGTAGTTGTTGCGTAGATGCATGATGACTATTGGCCCCAGAGGTCGACGAAGGAACATTAAGAGCAGGGATCGGGGATGAGACGGAATCCTGCTCAGCATCTTTGGGACCCTCCCGTGCAATCAGGCTTTGGTCTGGCCGGACGAAAGCTTCAGCGACCCAGAGCTTTCCAGTGTGAACCTTTTTCTGCAGGAGACCTTCAGTCCACTCGCAATCGCCGACCTCGACCATGCGGAGAATGTCCACGCAACAGCCGAGACTTGCAGCCATGGCCCGCAAGTTGTTTAGGCTCTCTTCCATCTCGTCATCAGCCAATCCAACGAAAGTCCCATCGTCCGCAACGCCGATTTCATAAAGCGCTCCTTTACTTTCCTGTAGCCCGGGAAGAAGTCTTCCAGGTACGGTAGGAACCGAGAGCTTTGCCTCCTCTGGAAGATGTGGCAACACAAGGTCGGTAGACGAGGATATATGGTAGGGGCATGATTGCTGCAATCGCCATAACAGTTGAGTTGTCAACTGCTCCAAGCGGTGTTGTCGTGCATTACTGGAAGACAACGGGGGAGCTGTGTTCACAGCTAATCCGGATTCGGATATGCTACGGCTTACGGGAGTGGAAGCCGGAGATTCAACTCGACGTCGCGATCCAGAAATGTGTTGGCCAGTACTGGAACGGGTGAATGATCTACGGCGTCGAAGCAACAAATGCAGTTTGTACTCTGTTGGTCCCTCTTGCGGCTCGGCTTCCAGCCTCGTAATCCCACTGTCCCCAACACCCCGGCGAGCCTGGGGAGGATTCGGATCCACATCCTGCGGGATTGCGCGCCCCGGACGAGCACCCGGAGGAGGCGTCGACCACGGGGATGACACCCGCGGCGGGTCGGGGTCAAAGGTGAAAATTGACGCCATGTTGTTACTGTTCGAAGATGTACACGATGAAAGAGCGTCTAGTGGTTGGCAACAAGCTGCTGCGTTTAGGCTGCAAAGGGCTGCCGTATACGCCGGAAAGTAGGTAGAGTAGATATTGATCGAGAATTTGTATGCAAATAATGTGTTTGGAACAGCTGGGACATTAATGGAAGCATTTTGGCGAGCTTGTGTTGGCAATCGGAGGAAGGGCGTTCGTGCAAACAACCACGAATCTTGCTTGGTGCTGAGCTCGGAGCCGCCTTCGTGGCTTAGCTAAAAAAGGGCTGCCATGGCGAGGTGAAGCAGCAGTGCTCGTATGTTGTAGAAGCTGGAGAGGACACGGATGATCGCGTCACGTCCACGGTTGAAATGAGGTTGGTTGATTTAGAGTCACAATGCAACAGTGGAGTCACTAGCTCGGGACCGTGGTAATTCCGGCCGGGATAAGCAAAAGGACTAAAAAAATGCAAAAGAAAAGCGACGCCTCAGGGATTCGAACCCTGGCTCCCGAAGGAACGGGCTTAGCAGGCCCGCGCGATAACCACTCCGCCAAAGCGCCTATTGATTGATGAAGATTCGTAAAATTAATGCTAAGATATAGCAATGTGCTGAAAACGTCCTTGACGACCAGATTTGCTTTGACTTGCTTGGTCTTCCCACCAACGCTAGTTACCGAGCTGGGAAGCCTAAACTCCTGTACTCCGTAACACAAACACAACCCGATTCTCAGCGACTCGATTCCTGAGTCATTCGTGTTTAATAAAGTGTAGGGTTTAATTCAGGATCGTATCTACTCGCTACATCAGATAAATGATAATATCGCGCATCGCAGTTGATTACCACTAGGTCACGCAATAGCAAGCAGAAAAACACAACTACCACACAACGTGACGCGCCCATATCCTTATTTGGCAATACATCCGCCCAAGGATGATCCCGCTGGAGACCGCCCCGCGCCCAACCTGCTTCGGAGTCATTATTGGGGTAAAGTTGTCCAAGCGCCAGAGCTATTCAAATGCTACATGATTCTTCTTCTGCAGACATGAAGCCATCAAATCCTCACCGGGTTCCATACACTACAATGACTAGCCAGTCAACTCATTAAAAATGCGGCCATTGATAAGGCCGCCGTGCTAGTTCGATGCAGCCGCCCTTCGGACGGTTCCTTCCAGCAATCCTTCCCCCTCTCTCGGGCATAGGGCTGAACTTCTCTGCATGTGGGGGTGAAGCCCCCATGATTCGACACTACAAATCAACAGGCTATGGCTTCACTTCGTCGTTAAGCACTTCGCTCCCCTATTTCTGTGTGTGATGGTTGAGCCAAAAACTCTCGTTGCTTTCAGAGAGGAGAGGGTTGTATCTGGTGGAGGAACTTGAGTCATTCATGACACATCGTAAGGCGATTAGGAAGGAGCAAGCTACTTCTCGCACAACGTGTATGAAGTAAGACATCCCAAGCATCCCCTGCTGACCGCGCCTGGAACGGGTCAACTCTCATGTGGCACAGTTCGTCTTCGGCGACCAAGTGCCTTCGACGCAGCGTCACCCGCAGAAAGGTCGCCCAAATGGCGTCACGGTCGTACGACGAGTTCAGTTTCTCACAGCTCTTGCAAGGAAACCCTAAAGAACACACATGGCAATGTGATTAAAGTGCGGAGACATGCATATCTCTCGGGTTCGTATCTCCACCTGACAGCGAGCCTTTTCTCATTCAAAGACGTCAAACCTGAGTTTTTCGGTATCGCCGAGGAGAAGATACTCTGCCGCAGCCACAATTCGGCTCTTTTCTCCTACGGGAAGCATACCAGGGCATTCATTGGAATCGCGATCTCGTGTTTTCGATCGTCGCTGGGGCGTAAGCTTTCTGCAGTTCCTCCTGCAAGCCATCATTGCTCCTTTCCGTGTTCAAGTCGACTGAAACTTGAGGGGGTAGGCGCTTACGACATGCTCGCAAAATGCAGAGAGAGGTTCGTTCAAGATGAGAGTTTGTCAATATCGTGAAATGAGGTCCAGCAGTCGTCAGATATCATGACTTTCTGCCTCGCCATTTCTGTATGAACCTAATGATGAGATCATTAGCGCGAGATCGGTCGTGCTCCGAAATGTGGTAGTATGGCTCGGGTCCGAACAAGCAAACTAGCGATAGGACCGCTGTTCGAGTCCAGCCGTTTCACGGTGGACCCAAGCAGAGGCTGAGCACATGTATAATAATAGCCCAAAAAGGCGGTTCCAAGCGCCTGATACTCGGCAGCTAGCCAGTCAGAGTGGTCCAAATGCGATAAAACGCAATTAATTCATCCGGCAGCCTTCAGTAAGCAGGACATGCTGGGCGGCCTGTTGGCCGTCATATAACAGCAGCGGAATATTGGCGGGCCCATGTTAGCCATGGTTATGGCGAACATCCGTGTCCATACCGTTGGGAACAGGGTCAGAAACCGCCTCGCGGACAGCCTCACCAAACGACGTGGGTGAGGCCCTCTCTTCCCTATTTGGCGTCAGCGAGCCGTCGACGAAGGATCAAAATACTTCGCGGGTATGAGATACTTTTACCATCCTCCCGTCCCGTGATCGACTCCTTCTGCACAAGCCTCGTCCTTCGACGGGCCGCTTTTCGCCCGAAAGGGCTCATGCTGGGCCACAGTGGAGAAGGGAGCGGACAAGCGTTGCGCCAGGGCCGCGAACGGTACGCGACTGTTGGATCTCTTGCGCGTGCGTCTCCGGCGCCCACAGGGCTGGGATGAGGATGCAGGAGTGGGTTTTTGCCGACACGAAGGTTCAGGCAAGGGAGAGAGTTCGCTGGCTACTGTGGTCAACTCAGGCCTAAACCTGCCGGCCGCTCCAACGTCACAACTCGTCTCCACACATTCTCCACGCACAGCTCGAGCATCGTGAGACAAACGACAAAGTCAGTTTAGTGGACAGACGCATGCGATCCAGTAGCCTTCGTGCGGGGTTCTTAAGAGGCGCCAGCTATGCATTTGGTGTGTGTTGGTGGTTAAGCGCTCGCGCGCTGACACGACTCATCGCTTCTTGAGTTTCATGCGACGGTCTTCCAAATCATTGCCCGTCCACATCGTCCCGTGCATACACATGCTCACAGTGGACAAAAGCATCTTGGCGAGCGCAGGTTTCCAGACGAGTTTGGCGTTGATGGAATCGTGGAAACTTGCATACGCCCGAAGCGCAGAGAGAGAAACAGGGTGCGAGTTGCGATTAGTTGACGTTGTCGATACCACACGCGATCTCGATGGCAGACCAACCCAACCGTCGACGTTGTGATTCGAGTGTCGCGAACTCCCTCCCGGGTTTGTACGGCCTCAATGGATGGCCTTGTCTTCGGTCGAGAAGACAGCCACCCAACCGAAGCAGCACGAGCTCGCCCAGTGCGACAAGCATGCATGGAGAATATGTCACAGGACTCGAGCCATGTGTTACTGAAGTCCAGCCAGTCGTAACACAGAACGCAGCCCTACGCCGCATCGTTGCATCGTTGCATCCATCTTACTCTTGTCCTGCAGGACTTCTGGGTCTTGCCTCGGGCTCGTGCTGTATCTGCATCTCTCGGGATGCTTGATTGTGTGATACTACACCCGTGGCTTGCTCAAGATTGCGGCGAGTAAGGCAACTCTATCACCACGATCCAATGATGACAGTTCCTGGCATCCTTCCAGCGGGTCCGTTGCCGCTCCCGCCCTTTTCCCCTCTTCAACGGATGACCCCATGCGACCTTCAACCGTCAGAGACTTCCAGTCAGCACTCTGTTTCGACTGCGCCGCAGTGCTCTCTTACGAGCTGGCCATTCAGCGAAGGTTCGGGGCAATGAGCGCAATTTCGCCCCGGGCCGACGCAGTAAGAAATGGCGGTCTGCCATGGGGCGTCGGATGACCTTGTTGCGAGAATGCAACGATCTATCTGCTTCCGACTATGGATGCGTCGGTGTTGTGTGGGTGGAGACGGACACTGGACGTCCGTCTGCAACGCCATGATACTCTGTGCCCAACTCCCGACTCCAGATGCAGGCCAAGCAGGCGCATTGCACTCATTCGATCAAACGGTTGTATCCGGAGCGGATGGCTTGCTCCTCTCCTACGAGAAATTGCGAGTAGACGCGTTAGTCGTCCACCTGCTGTATCGGGGCGCGTACACACTGCCCAGGTAAAGTTCGAGACCGCCGCCGTGAACCTCGGTGACTTTGAGCATGCTTGTTCGGCCCCATGGGTTCTTCATCGGTGCTCCATTGGCAGATAGTTGTGGCAATAGCGGTTGGTGTTGAGCCGTTGTCGTCCTCTTCAACTGGTGGACCTCAAATATCGATAACGTTCGGACCGCCCCGTTTCAATGGTACTCTCATTGGCCGCGAGTTTTTTCGTTTATCCGCTACTGTGATAGGTCGATCACCGAATAATGTCTTACCAACACTGAGAAGTGGTGGTGGTGGAGAACTAGACCCACGCTTATTCTTGGATAATGCTGGAGAAGGCAGTCGGTCTTTTCACCCCGACGTTTAATGAAGCTGGCCACGTCCCGTGACAAAAGCCCCTACAGTCGCATGTTCTGTTGGCCTTCAACGCGGCCCAGCATTATCGGCATTGAGGGAGGCCGAGCCCGGAATATCACCTCATTCGGTTGCTCACAAGGCTTTCCGCCCCAGCAAATAGTAAATCCCTCCCAGAGGTCCCGAATTCTTGAGAACCCGTACGGAAAATATTTTTGTGCCGCCACCGAGGCAACACTCTGCTCGCCAATCACACAAAACCCGCTGGCCAGTCTCGGGAGAGTCTGTCTCGACAGGGAAATTAGGCGAGCCATCCACAAGACCCTAATTCAAACTAAGGCCTGTACCAATTAGCGCAAATATCACTGTTGCCTTGAAAAGGGTCGACGCTTCATTTCCTAGTCTCATGGTTTAAAAATAATCTTTCTCGTTGGCTGCGTTGGCTCTGCGTCGTCAAATGCAGTCATGGCTATTCTTCACCAAAGTCCAAACCCCGCCAGTCGCGTCTTCTAGCCAAGCCGTCGTATTGCACCTGCGACTGCACAGGTGATCGACACCATCGTCATCCTCCTTTTCTATGTGCACCGTATTTGGAGCGCAAATCATCCAGTTTCACACCAAGACCCTCGCAGCAAAGCAGCCTCAGCGCTTGAGGTTGCTTATTCCCCTGAGTAGCCTGCAGATTCCTCCTCATGGCATGCAAATCTGGGACAGACATCGTCAAATATCAAAAACCAGGGAGACGAAAGGCGAATATGATAAGAATAGATTGCGAATGCAAAACGCTGCAATAACTCCGGCCCGGATGCATGACCCAAAGTCTTGTGTAGTGTATCGAAGGTGTATCCCAAATGATTATGCTCTAATACATAAGATCGTGGATGTGGTCGTTCGTGTGCCGTCGGCGGCTCGACTGCGCCATTAGGTGACTGCGTTGCAATGCAGCTGGATCCTGGTGCGAGGATGAAGAGGGCGTCAGGAGACTAATTCAAGGTGATAACACCTTGAGAATAGCTCCACGTCATCTCTCTCCAAGCCGAATCGCACCCCAAACAACTCATCTT